GAAGGTTATTTTCATGGCTTGTTGTAAATTCACTGCACTTTTTTTTTTGGTCGAAAAATTCGACTGCAATTTAACTAAGCAATTTTTCCGTAGTTTTGTTTTCTAGACTGCATTAAACTGCAGTTTGTTGAATTGTTGAGCTCCCAAGATAGTATGAGGATGTATACTTCTTTTCTTGCCTTACATGCGCTCTCTATCTAATCTCTATGCATATTATGCCGCTTACATGCTGCTATTTGTTTCCTTTTTTTTTTTGTCTTGCAGCTCCCGTGTTATCGACTTGATCTGCCACATGGCCTCCGTTCAGTGAGCATTTCTTGGACCAGACTCGGATCTCGTTAGAGGATTTTCTTCTTTCCGGCCCTCTTTCATTTCTCGATGGAACTCATGCATCTTTAAGGTTTAGAGAGAGAGATTTTTGGAATAATTCGAGTTCTTTCTACTAATTATGGCAATGTGACACCCGTCCTATGAGAAACTTATGTTCCCGTCCTTTATTCTCCAAGCAAAATATGAATGGAGTAACTGTACCGATTGTCATTTTGATGACGACATCTTTGTTGCATCTATTTTTGGTTGACAAACTAATGCTTGCATGAGCAAATGAATCCAGTCACTGAAAAGGAGTGCATGCTCAGAATCTCAGAAGCCATAAAAGAAGAAATGATACAACTTGAAGGTTCAAATTTGACAGAAAGAAACGCATTCGCAATTTGCACCGTATGTAATGGGAACAGTTGAGAGAGATGACTTCTACTGCCGAGCTCGCTGCCTTCCAACTTCTATGTTCATGAAGCATTTGATTTGATTCAGCTTTTCCAAAAGACTTATCTAAAGTCCCTTAAAAAAAAGTATAGGCATTGGATGAATATTTTTTTTTGGACCACCTTAGGGAAATGCCAACATTGGCAATGCTTTCAATTAACTATTCTTTATTTTAAGTTTTTGGTTTGAGATTTTTAGCTCTTTGATGTAGATTTTAACTGATTTTTCTGGTAAGCTGGGTGAAATAAATGATGAAGCCGCGCAACTGTACATGTTGTAACTCAAATGATGATCGGATTTGTATGTTGCTCTGTTTGGGAGTACCAGGGGGAAAGAAAAGTACAGAGAGGAAAAATCCCCTTAAAATTCAAAACTTTCGCTTCATCTTCCCATAAGAATTCGAAAACCTCCCCTCATTTCGTCTCCTAGTTTCATTCCACTCATTTTCCGTCTTTTTTCAGACATAAGAATTACATTTACTAAAAATTATCGTCCTCCACATAACTAAAGAACTTTTAGGTATAATAACTTTCAAAGCAAAATTTTCCTCCCACATGATTTAGAAATTACATACAAAATTACAATCGCATACAGAATATCAATTTTTAAACTAAGATTGTTATTTACACTTGAAAAATACAATGATAAGATATCGAATTCATATTAATCAACACGATATTCTTTCGATTCCCTAAGTTATCAAAATCACGAGATAGCAGTGTGAAATTAACTTGGAAATTTTCACACAAGTCAGAACTTTCTGTACCAAATACCGCTATGATTTCTAGGACCATCATCCCAGAAAAAATGGCTCCATTTGAAACAACCGAACCCTTGTATGAGGCTCGAGCCCTTGAGAGGGTTTGTTGCCACGGCGAGTAAAATAATCGACATGTAGCCAAAAAAATGATCAAATCAGTAGACTAACCCGATTCAAATTAGCTCGGACAATAAGGACGGGAACATAAGTTTCTCATAAAACAGTCAACCACCATGGTGACACTGATTTGAAATCAAAAGTATGGATCTAATCGTTAAAATGCATTACATTCCATCGACTGGTAAAACATGGCCGGAAAGAAAGCCCTCTGAGATCCGTCCGAGAGCTGCAAGAAATGCTCACAGAAATGCATTACACTCCAGAAATGCTCACGGAACGGAGGCCATGTGGCAGATATCGAGTCAATAACACAAGAACTGCAAGAAAAAAGAAGAAGAAATAGCAGCATGTAAGCATCACCTGTGCAGAGAGAGAGAGAGAGAGAGAGAGAGAGAGAGAGAGAGAGCCTGAGCTGGTAAGGCAAAGAAAAGAAAAAGAAAAGGAAAGTATACACATCCTCAATTCCTCATATTAACTAGGGAGCTCAACAATCCAATAGACTAAAGTTCAATTGCAAATTAGCAAAAAACCATGGAAAGGTTGCTAGTTAAATTGCAGTTACCACAAGCCATGAAAATAACCTCCCTTTTCCAATAAAAGGTAGCATGGATGATTTCAGCACTCGTTAAAGAGTATTTCCAAATGAACACTTCCCTTTCTGCATAAAACGAGGGTAGAGAGAGGGTGCACGCTTCATGTTCAACCAACACATGACTCAACTTTAAGAAGAGAAAGCAGGCACAATTCGTTTTCAAGTAACTAGAGTACAAAAGTACAGGAAGGGTTTTTACCTGTAGCCCCATTCTTTGTCATACCAAGATACAAGCTTCACGAAGTTTGGGCTCAGAGCAAATCCAGCCATCGCATCAAAGATACTTGACCTGGACAAAATGCATGCAGTTAGAAAACCAAGCAATGTACAACAACAGAGAAAATTTAGGCATCAATCAGACTCCACTACATGGGAGAAATCGTCGGAAAATTAAACAATGAGTGTATTAAAGAGGATAAATCAACAGCACATCATGATTAGCATATTGAAAGTTTACTCACCTGTTGTCACCTACAAAGCCGGTCGATACAACATCATAATCGCGTAACCAAGAATTCCCTTCATGTTGCCCTCAGATTCCTCCCTAGAGAGAGACAGAAACAGATAATAAAATGAAAATTAGATTGTTAGGCTAGTCTTTAGGGAGACAGAGAAAGAGAAATGGGGAAAAGAAATCATATCGCATTGTGGATCTCACTAGATTGCAACCTTGATCTCATCGTAAGCAGCAGCCTTCTCGAGTCTCACATTAAGGCTGACCACTGAGACATGACCAGTAGGCACACGGAAAGCCATTTCAGTCAACTTCCCATTTAGTGCCAGGAGCACTTTCCCAACAGCCTGAAAACCAAAAATTAGTACATGGATGTAAACAAGTAACCTTACAAATATATACATTGACGACCACAAAACAGGACTGCAGACTTAAGCAGAGCAATCAAGAGATGGGCACAAGTATTCATTATTCACTTTTAGCAAAAAAAAAAGTATCAATTTATTAGTACCCTGGCAGGTCCTGTGCTAATTGGGATAATGTTAGAAGCAGCAGCTCTGCCACCTCTTCAGTCCTTCATCGATGGTCCATCAACAGTCTTATGTGTGGATGCATCACATGACAGGTATATCAATTAATGTTCCACACAGTTCAACCAAAACAAGACATTATTGATGGCTCAGCAACTTATGAATGCAATCTAATAGTACTCACCAGTGATGGAATGGACAGTGATCATATGACCCTCAACAATACCAAATCTGTCATTGATGACCCAACAGGTAAAAGTCAAAGACGACAGAGTGTCAAAAGAAAACCAACTCAAATGTTTCCTACAATCCCCTTGACCAAGTTTGACACCAGAATACCTTGGCTAAAGGAGCAAGGCAGTTGGTAGTGCAGCTAGCATTGGAGACAATGTCCAGGTCAGGTGTGTATTCCATCTCATTGACACCCACCACAAACATGGGTCTTATGACCCATATGATTCAGAAATTATATAAAAAAATTACGATCGCATACAAAATTCAATTTTTTATAACTAAGGTTATTTACACACGAAAAAAACAATGATATGATATCGAATTCATATGAATTGACACAATATTCTTTTGATTCCCTAAGTTATCAAGATCATGAGATAGCCGTGTGAAATTAACTTGGAAATTTTCACACAAGTCAGAACTTTCTGTACCAAATACCTCCATGATTTTCAGCACATCCTTAAATTGTAGCCTTACACCACAAATTAGGACCATTATCCCAGAAAAATGACTCTATTTGAAACAACCGAACCCTAGTGTGAGGTCTTGAGCCCTTGAGAGGGCTGTTGCCATGGTAAGTATAATAATCGACATGTAGCGAAAAAAATGACCAAATTGGTAGACTAACTCCATTCCAATTGCTTGGAGAATAAGGACGGGAACACGAGTTTCTCATAAAATGGTCACCGACCATGGCATGGCGACACTGCCATAATGAGTCAAAATCCCAAAGTATTGCTCTAATCCTTAAAATACATTCCAACAAGTAGAAAAGGGCCGGAAAAAAGATACCCCTCTAACGAGATCCAAGACAGTAAAAAATTCTCACAGAACAATGGCCACGTGGCAGATTAAGTCAATAACACGAGAGCTTCAAAAGGGCAGCAGCTTTATCCTTATCTCCAGTGGATTCAACAATAACTTCAGCCCCAGTCTCTCCCCAAGGGATCTCCTCAGGGTTTCTGATAAAACAATATCAACCATTAGATTACCCAGTTGTTCAAGAATCTGATGAGGAATAAACATCACAACCAAAAGCTAAGAACAAAACTAAGGGTGTGAACTTACCTAGTACCGAAGACAGTGAATGGCTTCTCGCCAAAGAGAAGCCTCTTAAAGTCCTGGACTATGAGCTCGGGCCGCTTCCATTGACCACGGACATTGTCGTAGTTGAACATATCGGTCTGGACAGTTTCACAACAAGACCACCAGTTAGCAGATGCTGATTTCCAAATCATAGTTATAAGCCATAAGCACATCACAGACACACGGCACACGGCACAAGATCTTATCACGTTCTAGTAGAGTCTACTAACATAGTTTCCGACCAAACTTAATATGGTAGCACCAAATCTAGCAGAAGCCCCGATTCAACAAATTCAATCCATCGTTAATGGAGATATAATCTTGAATATGATTTTCGAGTGCTAAACAACCAGATGTATTCACCCAAAGATTACTCAGGTTAAAAACGAGAATGGCTTGGAGAAGAGCTAAAGATGCCGAAATCGCCTTCCAAGCAATTTTGCATGTTCTACTAGAACAGATACAGGGAAGATACAAAAAGTGATGGCCAATATTCTTTCTCAAAAAATTAACACGCGACTAGACACAACGCATTTAAAGCGAAATTAAGCAAAAAACGCAGTTACAATCTCAAGAAGATCATCTGACAAGCACCTCATGGATCATACAGGTAAACTTAACTATGATGTACCTTAACTTCAGCCATAGGCCAGATGCTTTATATCAAAAGAGGAGCAGATAACAAACCTTCAAAAGGCCAGCAGTTTTATCCTTATCTCCCGTGGATTCCACAATGAATTCAGCCGCAGTCCCACCCCATGGGATCTCCTCAGGGTTTCTGATAAAAAAATTATCAGCCATTAGATTACCCAGTTGTTCAAGAATCTGATGAGGAATAAACATCACAACCAAAAGCTAAGAACAAAACTAAGGGCGTGAACTCACCTAGTACCGAAGACAGTCAATGGCTTCCCTCCAAAGTTATTGTCAATCTTAAATCTTCTCTCTGCGCGAGAGCTAACAAATGAACCTCAATCCAAACCATACGCATTCGCCAACAGGCGGATGAATTCCACGGTCATCACGGCACGCGCGGATAGAGATGGAGGATGGCAATTCCGAGTTACACGCGAATCGCCGATGAAAAAACCCCAGCGCAGTTGCCGGAGGAACTGGAATTTGGAAGAGAGGAACTTACGGGATTCCGACGCGACGACGGCTGAACGGGAAGCTAAGGCGAGAGATCGGAGACGAAGGAGAAGAAGAAGAGGAGGAGGAACTGAGAATTCAGAACCAGCAATGCCACGACCTCCAGAGAGAGAGAGAAACCACACTCTCATTTCCGCATCGAGAAAGTTTCTGGGCCTACTCGGGCCGGGAGGCCTTCGAATAATGGGCTCTAACGTGGGCCCTTCGGATCATCCGTGAGTTTCTGGGCCTTCGAATAATGGGCCCAATGGGCTCTAACATGAGCCCTTCAGATGGTCCAACAACTTCTGGGCCTACTCGGGCCGGGCCTTAGGACAGCAGCAACCTAGGAGCCCCGCCCGATCCGCTACTTCGACCTCCTCCCCTCTGTGCGAGAACGACACGACATGCTGGCATGGTATGAAAGGCGAGGGCCGTCGCCGCCGCCGCCTCCCGGCCTCGTTTCACATCTCGACCTATTAACTCGTGTCGTTCGATGCATCGCACGCATGCACATCTCATCCGGCCCTCGAACACGAGCACTGCGCTCCCTGTTTGTATCTTCTAGCGTAATTCCTCATTAGACAAATTTAGTCTAAACCTAGGTATCTCCTAAGCACATAATGCCTCTCCCTTGAAGCCTCCTCCTTACAAAACGAACTCCCCTTTCCCCGCCGTCACCATCTCCGGCGATGGTGACCGAAGCCTTTGTCGATCTCACTTCGACAAAACACACGAGCCTTTGCACCCCCCCACTCGCACCCAATCCAAAAGGCATATTCCCTTTTCGTCCCCCTTATCCTTATAAATGTAACTTTCGCGCTGGCACCACTAATCCGGCGAACACTTCAATGTCTCGGGCGAAACTCAAGAAAAAGCCCGAGGACACCTTTTTCAATCTAATCTTCTTGTATGACTTGGTCCGGCCCTATATTTCAAAATATTAGGTTCGATTTTAGAGTCCGTTACCATCCAAGCGCTGACATAGCATAAGGGAGACTCAGGACACCAGCTCCAACCATGGCCGTGACATTGTGAAAGGTCGAGTACCACCATTTCGCATTCCTGGAAGACGTGATTGGAAGCCAATTGTCGATTTCCTTCTGCTTCGGTTTGTCGTCCTGTTTCGAATCAAACCACGTGAAATATTCGGCGTTAATCACGAAAGCAAGCGACGGTTCCTTCTACAGATATGACGGTCTCGACCGGAGCACTCATCACTAGGACTATATAAATCAGCAGCCGACTTACATCGCCGTCGCTGCCCTGACTCCCCATCAGAACGACACGAATCGCTGGCAGAACTTCACCGGAGGAGGATGAGGAAAATAAAGCACTGAGATAAACAGATGAAGGAGGGTTATGTATGCCCAATGGGTTGGTCTATCCTAGGAAGCCCAGTCGATGAATTCTACGAGTATGGAAATAAAACTCCAACCCATTGACTTGGTTTGGACGGATTTCCATTTGAGGACGACACATCTGTTTGATACAGCTGGTGGCTACGATTCTGATGCAAATGAGAGGAACCCTCTTCACTGTCATCCTAGTTTTAGAAGATTGATGCAGATTTGATGCCATCCATGGTGATATGCAGTAATTGGGGTCGATTTTTTAAGGATGCTTGATTCTTGTGCCCCTGACTCATTTGACTCCATAACGTAGAATAAGGCAAGCAAAAACGCTGATGGCCTTGTGCTTTTGGCAAGTTTGCTTTTGCTTTGCAAGCTGCATTGGAGATCTCCCAATTTGACCATTTCAATTTCCCAAATGGGAATCAAGCCTTTTAAAGACCAAACAGGGCAGTAGAATGATAAGGACTCGTCGACTGTGAAAATCCCCCGATCATCTGACCCCTGTCGGTTTCGCTGAGGGAAGCATTAGGAAAGAAATTCACCAGTTGGAGCCTTGGAGGCTCTATTGTCTGAGGACATGCTTGACGCCCTTACCCTCACATGACAGTTGGTCACACGTGAGTACTTTAGTACTACATAGTTTCTGTGTCCATTTGGGAAACTGAATCGCTACACTTAGTCGCGCACGCAGTCTTTGATTTTCTTTCTTTACGAGTTCTGTTCTATTTTGGATTAATTATCGCATTTACTCTCGACTGATTCCGCTTATGTACGTGTTGAGTTTTTCCTTTGTATCGATGCTGGTGTCCGTTTTCAGTTCACCTGATGACACATTATTAAGTATGCAACCACTGCATTCTTCACCATTCGGAAACTCCAGCCATGTTAAGCAAGATCAACCGCGTGACCCTTCATATGGCCCTCGGCTCTTCGGGAAAGCATCAGTCTTACAAAGTGTATTGGTTGTGTAACTTTGCGGCAGAAGTGCTGATTTTTGGTCACCGTATGGACTCATCGAACTGAATGAAGAATAATTAAAGCCATAGTCTTTTTTATCGATTCTCAAGAAGAATTACACAGCAAGAGAAGATATCAGATGAACTGAATAACGAACACGAGGCTTGATCGAAGATGAGTTACCATAGAAGGAGTACGAGTTTAACATACCCAGTTTGACCACCAGGATAAGCTAAACTTCCTCGGCTTGTAGATCGCGAGCCACATTATGCAAGGAAGCTGAAAAAAACGGGAGAAGGGACAAGACATTAGGATTTTGTCTGAACCAGAAAGTTCCTCCAAGCATTTCAATAAGCCAACTTTTACAATGGCCAATCCAAATCATTATATTAGCAGGAGCTTGCTTACAAAGTATGTCGTCGGGGCAAAAGCGAATCCTCCGAAAAACGAAAGAAGGCCGCCGAAGAATGGGAAAGTGATGGCTACGAACATTGTGAATGCTGCCATGACAATCGGACATCAATAACATTGACAAAAAGGAAAGACAGGAAAAGCAGGGACCGGACTTCAAACATTGCGAACTAGACCAGAATATACGAGCAAGCAACAAGAGAACGGGCATCATACTTACCAACATAGACAGTGCGAGCCACAAAACGAAGCGCTCCAGTTGGCTTGAAGTGCAATTTTTTCACTAATACAGTCTCTACCATGTCAAACACCGGCATCGCGTAAATCTGTATCAAGACCACGAAAAGATCAATTCACCGTCGCCACAAAGAACATTGAAAGACACAAAAGAAGGAGCTTGTACATTACCTGGTAACTTCCAATAACATGGATGACGACAAACATGTTTGCCATTGCAATGAGCCACTTCGGTTTCTCCAGGGAGATGAGGATATTGTCCTTGACCATGTTCCCAAATACATAATAACCGATTAGAGCGACTGGGAAGTAGCAGAGAGCCACAACAATGTAGGCGACAATGACTCCTCTCCACATCGGGCCCTTGGACGGCTTCTCAGGAGTGGAGGGGATAGTCGCCTGAATCTCCAGGACCACATTGTGCCCTGCATACGCGAAAGCCACATCGCCCAGGGCGCTGAAGAAGTCGAAGGCCTTCCCTGGCGTGGTCGATGCCCTGGAACTGTACTGCACGTGCGGCTGAACGCCCTTGTCTACGGAGGCTCCCCAAGCTATGGTTGAGTAACTGAAAAATGAAGATATGAAATGTCATCCCGAATAATATGTAGAGTTTGACTTGAATTGTATCGATTATGAGGAAGCGAATTCAGAGAGTCTAGAATAGAGTATTACCTCAGAGACATAACGGCTGCAGCGAGGGAGACGCCGGAGATGGAGTTGAAGTTGGGGAGGTGGGAGAGGACAAAGTGGACAGAGGCAAAGATCATGATGAAGTAGGTGGTCTTTATCTTCTTGCAGCCCGAGCCCGAGCACACGGTGTCGTGGAACTTCTGCAGCGACTTCCCTCCGGTGACCATGTACACGATGTTGACACCGACCTCGACAATCAGCTGCTGAGGGACCACGATATAGAGTCCGAGCTTCTCGCCGAACGCGTACTGCCCGAGCTCATGGTACCAATCGAACCTCCTCCCGGGGACCATCTCGTGCATCTCGACCATTTGCCACAGCGTATACAGGGTGATGACCCATGACAGGACTAGCACAGCTACACCAGGACCCCTAGAAAAAATCAAAGAAACACACAAAGCAGCCGAGTTACATAAGACAGGACGACTCATAAGTTCAACCTGCAAACCGATGGCTACTCCACTGCAACTTGGGATTGATTCGGTAACCGGTAGGCAAATTTATTCATCAAATTTGCACAAAACGCTAGTTGCACTAAAACTAGGCACAGGGAAAGAAAGAGATGGTAGACTCAGGACAGCTCAACTGGCTAGAGGAGAAATATAACTAAGGACTAGATTGATTCAAGACCAACTTCTACCACATCGTGATAGATTCGAAATTTGGCATACCATCCGAGTTCAGACATGGCGTAGGGGAGGCTGAGGACGCCGGCTCCGACCATGGCCGTGACATTGTGGAAGGCCGAGTACCACCATTTCGCGGTCCTCGCAGAGGTGATGGGAAGCCAGTCGTCGATTTCCTTCTGCTTCGCTAGTTTCTCCTCAATCTGTGTGATTGATCATGAAGCATTTGCTTAGCTTTAGATCTAGCTTAGGATAAAAAAAAATCGCTCTGTCTGATTTGCATTTACCTAAAACTAGAATTTTTTTTTTTTTAACCTAAAACTAGAATGACTAAACAAGAATGTAGCAGCATTTTGCTCCCAAAGTAACAATCAGCTATTTGCAAACGAGCCCGCCAATCGTAGCATTTAACCCTATCCTAAATTCGACATCGTGCATATCGAAATATCCTACTTCCCTTGACAATGGAGTTTATACACTTTTTATATACATATGATCTTCCTTAATTAACCCATTAGCTTAAGCTTTTGGGTTGGACTTTTCTTATATGGTATCAAAGGTTCTACCCTTTTAGCTTTCTTAATCCAGTTTTCACGCCTCTTGACTATGGGGTTATATGCATTTTCATATACATGTAATCTCTCTTCACATATGGGTTTAAGCATTTTAATTGGATTTTCAAACAGTGGGATGGTTATGCCGACATGTCATGATTTACACCACATGATGTTAGCAGTCTTAAACCCATTGTACGGCGGCCAGCTCCATCCTAAACTCTTCAATTTTGTCAATTCAATCTTAAATCTCATAACGATTTGCCAATTTTAGTCATAAGTCTTTCGACAATTTGACAATATAGTCATAAATCTTATTCCGACCAAACTTAATATGATAGCACCAATTCTAGCAGAAGCCCCGATTCAACAAATTCAATCCATCGTTTAATGGAGACATAATCTCGAAAAAATTACTTTTGAGTGCTAAACAACCAGATGTAATCTCACTAAACAGGACGAAAGGAACACCTCCTTTTACAGGCCCACTCCAGCCTCGGATAAGACTTCTACCACAAGCAGTACCAGAAATCGTTCGAAACCGACCGATCCCAAAACTACTTTGACTACGAGCTGGTCGATTCAACAAGTTCGCAGCGATCATCACGACGCAGCACGCAAACACACACATACGCACGCAACCCACGCACGGACAAGCGAAGCAAAAGGTACCATGGAGTCGGGGGTGATGAAGGGGGCTTTGACGGCGGCGCGCTCGACGTTGCCTCTTCGGAGCCCGGCTCCGGCGACCAAGCGACCGGACCCGCCGAATCCTTAGCACCCAAAAAGAACCCGATCAACATCGCCGACGATCAGAGCAAAAGCACAGAAAATAGAAAATATCGACAGATGGACACAGCGGGAGACCGTGTCGCGTACCGTCAATCCCGATCTCGGCCTTTCCCATTGCGAGTCGAAATGAGCCAAGATTCGGAAACGAGAGAGGAGAGGACCGCGGGAGCGAACGGTGAGGCTCACGAAGAAGGAGAGATGCATGTGTGGGAGAGAGAGCTAGAAGAGCGCGCGAGAGAGAGAGCGTCGATTTCAAGTGGGTATCTCGGTAACGACCGCATCCTCTTCTCCTTTGTACAAGGTAAAGAGGACGAGGGAAACACACGTAATCATCGTCGTCATTGTGAGTAGTCCCTGCGACAGGAGAAAGAAGTGGCACTCAGCAGGAGCCAGCTTCCTCGATGCTTCCGTCTCTCGACGACGCCGTCTAGGGCGTTAAACTGGGCACCGTCGGTAAGCCGCTGGCTCCGGATGGACCGGCGTGCCCATCACGGGGGGAACTTTGGAACGGACGGGGAGGCGAGCGGAATTCGGGTAAGAAATGTTGTAAATTTGAATGGCTTCGAATCAAAAGGGCAATCAAGTCGGACTCTGAGGCGTGATATCACTTTCCTTAGGGATTTATTTGCCCCACAATGTTGCTAATGGTCATCGACAAAAATCCTCCGGGATACAACAAAGTCTCAAAATGAGAATACTAGATAGCAATTCTAGTATTTCTCCAGGTCTCTCTAGGAAACAATTGAAAATGATGGCCGTAGTTTTCGAAAGAAGACTTGAAAAATTGATTTTCCTTCTTGCCGAAAACTGACATATATAGAAATGGATCTTCATAGGCAACTCTTCACGAAAGGTTGCAAAGCTAACAAAAATATTCCTTCGGAAGAAGTTGCAAACTGAACAAATGCAACCCTTTGGGAAAGATTGAAAACTGAACAAGTATAATCTCCAAAAGTTATCTTGAAAAGACACATGTAAAATTCGGAATAAAATAAAATAAAAAATATATATAAATAAAATTCCGAATTTTCATAATTTCGAAAATTATTTAATAAACAAAAACATCCTTTCAACTAATAAAGATTAATGAGATAATCTTACGAAACAAAATAAAAAATAACGGGATTAGTGCTAATTAAACCGCGCAATTATTCGCGCACCCGCACGCGGGTATTGTGTGGGCTAGCACACACCCCATTGTCTTCACTCTAAGGAGCAAGAAGATATTCACAGTTATAAAGTGGCCCGCTTTCTCAAAACTTTCCTACGTGGGACAAAGAAAAGAGCATTATTTTGTTTGTTTTACAAACAAACATCCAACAAGAAATGTGCGACACGCGCTTTTTATAGCGAGCGTGGGGATCATCCATTTCTCGTATGAAGAATGGTTCATTGGTTTGTATTTTAAGCATGTGCAATTGGGCATATGTTTATCCGGGGATGGGAAATGGAGCGATGAAGCACATTACACACGGGAAATGGATTCACAACTTTGGGGGGAAACGAGAAGTTGGGAATATTCGGGGGCATCTGAGAGCCGGTGGGCTTTGGATGGAAAAGAGATTTTGAAGGTTTTCGCTTGTCTAACATATTTCCTTTTCATTTTTTTTAACCCTCCCCCCTGTAAAATAAAAGAAGTATCCTGAAATCTAAAAAAACATCGCGAACGATTTATATAAATCTTACGTATCAAATTCTTTATGTACAGATCGGAAACCGTTTCACATACGTCACTTTCGACGACGGTCAATTGAAGGAACGAGTAATTTTTGCCTTTCCAAACTCTTGATTTGAGGATCATAACTAATCCACCGCATTAAACAAACGGCCTCCAAAACCACTTATGTAATAAGCGAGTTTCGTATTGCCGCGATATTTGCATGTGTTGACATATACTTATGCGATAATATGTCACCCGTAATTATATCAAACGGGGTTTCGTTTACTTAAATGAACTTTTGTGCAAAAGTAAATTACTTTATTTAATATATCCGATGTCATATTTCGCCATCGTAACGTGTTAAAAATTAAGCATTATTTCACCGAATTGCCAAGTAAAACTACCTCCTACGAAGAATGGGTATCAAAGTTCAATTTTTAAGTACTACAGATTGCAGAAACTTTTTTTTTTTTTCGGTTTGATTAAGACAGATGTAGAAACCGACAGATAGGAAAGGGGCGAAGTGAGGTGAGAGGGATGAAAGGATTCCCTTTTGCTCTTTTGGGGATTTTCTCTTTTAATGTTTATCCACCTGGTGCTCCCAAACAGAGCAACATAAAATAACCAAATTCAGCACAAAAAATCAGTTACAAAATCATACAATAAACCGCTAAAATAACCGAACCAAATGATGGCTAGTTCGATAAGTGTTTTTTTTGGGAAATTGTACTTATCATCGTCCCACCTTGAAGGACAAGCCTGCCCTCTCTTCTCTTTTCCCCACGCTCACTATAAGCGCGTGCCGCACGTTTCTACCCGGATTCCCGCTCGCCTCCTCCCGTTCGAAGTTCACGAGCTCGGCGCGTGTCCGTGATAATGCGCGAGGGCGTGTGCATTGTTTTCTTTTTGCCTCACACGCCCTTCTCTCTCTCTCTCTCTCTCTCAATGCACAGAGGATGCTTTCGTGCTGCTATTTCTTTCCTCTTTTTTTTTATTTCTTGGAGCTCTCGTGTTATCGACCTGAGATCTGCCACATGGCCGCCTCCGTTCAGGGAGCATTTCTTGGACCAGACTCGGATCTCATTATAGGATTTTCTTCTTCCGGCGCTCTTTCATTTCTCGATGGAACTCATGCATCTTTAGGGTCTAGAGAGAGAGATTTTTGGAATAATTCGAGTTCTTTCTACTAATTATGGCAATATCAACACCCGTCTCATGAGAAACTTATGTTCCCGTCCTTTGTTCTCCAAGCAAAATATGAATGGAATTGATGTACCGATTTGTCATTTTGACGATGGCGCCCTTGTTGCATCTATTTTTGGCTGACAAACTAATGCTTGCATGACGTTGATTGGCATGTTAAGGGCGCATTTGAAAAGTTGTCAAATAGTAACTGTTTCTATTTCTTTTGTTCTCAAAATCAATTTTGGAACAGAAATCCGTTTGGTAAAATTTTTATTCCCGGGCATAAATTTGCAAAAATTTGTTCCAAGAATCAATTTTGGAACATAATCAAAAAGCAAAAAAAAGTAGCTTCTTGATTCTAAGAACAAGAATCAGAAATGGAAAAAAAAAAATTTCTTCTTCTTCCTGACCTGGTGACCGGCCACAGGCTAGAGTCGACGAGGATGTCACGGCCCTCGCCGGATCTGGCGTCGGCGACCCTCGCCGCTACCCTCACCAACCCTGACTTGTGGTTGGTCGCTGGCGCCGGCAATCTGGCCATGGCCAAGGAAGGGGAAAGGGAAGAAAAAAAAAAAAGAAATATTAAAATATTTAAAATATTATTAATAAAAATAAATTTTGTGCAGTTATCAAACGTATTTCTGTTCTTTTTCTATTCCAAGAATAGAAATTTTGGACAGTTATCAAACGCCTTTAAATGCTTAAAAATTGTTCTTGGGCACGGAATAAAAAAGAATCGCTTTTTAGAGGAATCGGTTTCCGGAAATAGAATGATTGCCAAACGCACCCTAAATGAGTAACCTATGTTTTGGGGGATTTTTCCTTGTCTGTACTTTTCTTTTTCCCCCCCTGGTGCTCCCAGACACAGCAACATACAAATCCAATCATCATTTGAATTATAACACGGGCAGTTGCGGGGCGTCATCATATATTTCGCCAAGCTTGGCAGACAAATTCAGTTAAAAAAATCTGCATTAAAGCACGAAAAATAACCAAAACCGAAAGGCAAAGAACAGCCTAAATTGCACTGCGACTGCACTCATAACGCCAGCCATCAGGTCATATGGTTGGGACCCACATCTTTGAATTGTTGGCTTCGAGCGGGCTTGGGTACGCCCGATCCGAGTAAGGATTTTTCGAGCCGGCCCAACAAATGGTGCACAGCAGGAATGTGCAACCGGACTGGGTTTACCGAGAAATCGAACTGGCCCACCCAAAAAATAGGTTCGGGAACCGATTCCCGTTTGAACTGGTTTGAAAACCGGTTCCATTTTTTGGGAACTAGTTAGAACGGGTTGATTTCCGGTTCCAAGTGAAAATCCACTCGGACCGGTTTTAGAACCGGTTTTATATGGAAGTCCACTTGCAATTTTATATGGCCAGAATTCAAAGCATTATATCAGGAAGAATGAGGGAGGTGATCATTATTTGCGGATAGTCTAACTCAAGCGCTTGTAAATAGGGGGAGCAATTTCCTTTTTCTTAAAATTTTTGTTCTGTAACGAAGGAACTATATATCCAACTGGAACCTATGCTGTTTTATCATATCCATTAAGTTATTGGGACTAAGATAATATGCTTTTGTATGAATACTTAAGATTGTTTGGACAATCAAACTTATAACCTTTGATTTAAATTATAAATTTTCCTATTTGCTACCTAGAAAAAATGAAACCCAAAAAGGAGTGAAAAAAAAAACGGGTTCTCGGGTAGACCCTGGAATCGGACCGAAAAAACAGGATAGGTTTCAAAACAATGTCCAGGGCAAACATGGTAGATTCTAGGTTCCAAAAACTAGGAACCGGTTATAACAAGATCGGTTTCATGTTCCAGGTCTGAAATCGACCCGCCTTGAAACTGATCACTCCTAATGCGTAGCGATTCGTAACGTGTTGGCACAAAAGGCTTCATTGATTCAACAATGACTCTTCAATGGTGCCGTATATAGGTAAATGAATGCAGTCATTAAAAAAGAAGCGGCATCCTCGGGACTCAGAAGTGATAAAAGAAGAAAGGATGCAACTCGAGGGTTCAATTTTTGACAGAAAGAAACACACATTCGCAATTTAACACCGTATGTAATTGGTAAAAGTTGAAAGAGAGGACTTCTGCGGCGGAGCTTGCTGCCTTCCAACCTTTGCTTAGGATGCATTTGATTCAGCTTTCTCGATGGACTTTGGACCTCTAAAGTCCTAAGGAAAAAGTTACGGCGTTTGGTGATTTTTTTTTAATCTACTTTAGGGAAATGTCAGCATTAGCAAAATTGAAAGCCCAAGGCAAGTGAACTTGCTTTCAGCATTTTCGAAAAGCGGGTTTGAGAGTGTGCAAATTTTTTTTCTTTCCAAATTGTTTTCACTAATAATTTGATATCCCATCATTGCCCTCGCAAGGGACTTCATTTTCTCCAACATTGCAGATCTGGGTCGCCGACGAAGCTCCGCCGAGGGTCACGTGAGATCGGCAGACTGCCGCTAACAATTGCCAACAATCGCCGATGGTGACCAAGGGCCTCTAAGCCTTGTCGAGAGTCATGGATCTGTTAGTCAAGATCTGGCGAGTTGAGGGCTGGCGAAGCTCGTTGAGGGCTGATGGTTGCCGAGGTCGAGCATCGCCAAGGTCGAGGGTATCCCGAGCCTTTTATCTCCAGATCTAATGTCGCCCAAGAGGGCCTTCCACGATGAAGGTGATAGACACGATGAACGAAGGAGACGATGGACAGAGGGCCTGGGTTGCTCGGGCTCTGTTTTTCTTTCATGGAAGATGATGAAACAGAAGCAAATCTCTATCTTTCCCCTCCTTTCATAAATTTCAAAGCTACTTTGCAAAAAGCACACCTTAAACCAGCAGCTGATTTTATTAGACGGGGACTTCGAAGGCACAATGTTGTTCCATGGCCTTACAAGTCGGAGCCCTTGGATTAACACAAAGACAATCTCAACCGTCAAAATTTATCTAGTTTCAACCGGTTATCCACCTCCGCGAAACGCCGAACGACCAACGCGCTACAAAATGGACGTCCGAGCAATAAAATTGGATTTCTCTTTTATCCGCGACTATTTCTAAAGGTCCACGATTATTATAAAAGGAATCGAAAATCATCATATTCTGCGATAGTTCACAAAACGTTTAAACTGGAATAAATGCAACATGTTCCACTTAGTCCTAAATTTTTCATAGCTAAATCGCAAAGATTTTACAAAAATTTACCACATAATCTCATAATTCAACAAGTTTTTCGTCGTAAATCTTATGAAACTGTCGTGATTCGTATTCACGACATACTTTTTTGACAAAATTCAATTCTTTTCACAATGCAGCCACTAAACATGACCCAGATAAAAACCGCATAAATGTTACATGACCACTCGCAGAAAACAGGCTTAGACACTGAGAACTGAAACATGAATAGCATCGATATGAGAGTTTAAGCGCTTGATAAAATAATCAATTCAGAATGTGAGAACACCCCGGGATAGCAACATAGTTAACGTTCCAAATTTCTGTTGCCACTTCGGATTTCATTCCCCTTATTGTCCAAAATAGTGCAAAAGAGAAAAAAACGCTTACAACTCCCTGTGAACTCTACCTCCGGAAATATGCAACATGAAGTCATGCCATCAATCTATATCACAAGGCCCTGAGAACAAAACGAAAGTAGCAAATCAGTTTTTTAGCAGCAGATGAAACCATAGCTAGGAATTCAACGATATTCGCAATTCTTGTAACGGAGGAGAAGCGAGCAGCCATCGCATTAAAAGATGAAGCACATGAAGCTTAGTCAAAAAACATGAGATTTCTACCATGAGCAGCTTAGTGTATAGACTGGCAGCTAATCTAGCGGATCATGAAATACATAGGACATAGGGTTAATTTCATCATATGTTTCATGTTGGTGCATGCAATGCCGCAGTTTCACTCACCCAAAAATATATTAAAGGCATCAATGAGCTCCTGCATGAAGATTTAACTAACAAGTTTGATACATTGGAATAACAAAGGCAGTATTACATTCCAAACAACAACATTCAATCTGCAGTTTGTCTATCTTTAAGAACATAAATACACTGCTGAAGTCAATTTCATGGTTCTTTTGCAAATGATATTGGTAAAGAGTGCCTCTATGGCATCTGTTAAGCAAGCAAATAAAATAAAGTTGCAGTTTTCAGAACACCGACTTCTTTCTGATTGGTATAATCAATACGTTGGAAAGCAGACATTTTTTTTATCACTAATTTCTATAGGGTCACTCATCGATATGATGCATTCAACATTAAACTAGTAAAACTATAAATTGTTCTAGTGACAGAAGGCACAAATTTGTGACCTCCTTATCCCACAAAAGTGCATGCACAGCAGCCCAAGCTACTAGTAGAAAACTTGTTATCTCAAATACCATATATCACCCAAAAATAATACAAGCTGCAATAACAACCCAGCACCATAAGAATCAAACCTTGGCAAGAATACCCATCAAACATTGAAACCCAAATTCAATCAAATTTGAAGAAACAGAGTTTGTCAGGATTACCTGTTCAGCGCCCACCAAGCATGGCCGGGTTAAGTGCCAGCAGTGCCTGCTGTCCACCAGGTAAGTAAGCAACATTCGGGTTCCTCGACAATGTAGCAGCAATCTCCCTCGATGCCTCGATCCTCCTAAGCTCAATCAGCCCCATGCCAGCTGCAGCAGTTGCCTCAGAAATCAGCTTTGCAGCCTCACTTTCTCCTTCTGCCCTGATAATTGCAGCTCTCCTCTCCTGGTCTGCCTTCATCACCACGAATTTTGATCGCTCTGCCTCCTGCTGCGCAACCTGCTTCTGCTCCACAGCCCTCGAGAACTCAGCGCCATAGGACAGGTGGGTGATAGCCACATCATCGAGGATGATGTTGAACTCTTTGGCACGCTGAATAAGGCTCTCCCGGACCAGTGCAGAGACATGCGGTCGCTCAGTAAGAAGCTGATCCGCATTGAATTGGGCAACAACAGCTTTCAAAACCTCATTCCCAATCGATGGAAGGACCTTCTCATCATACTCAAGACCCAGGTGCCGGAAGATATATGGCAGACGAGTGACCTGCAAAACAAATTACTTTCCATCCGTCACTTCATGCTAAATCAGAAGCATCGCATATCGGATTCCAAAGATCCTGCCTTTATTCGAACAAAATTTGCACCTTTTGCATACTCGCTAATACACACATATCAAAGGAACTTAATAACAACAATTCCCAAAAGCCGTTCCAGCAACGAAATTAAAAACTTTACCCTGAATGTAATCCAGAGAATTATGAAAACATGGAACAATAGACAGAGAAAAAGAAGAACAGTTCCCAAACGTTTGGAGAGAAATGACACCCAAAAAGGCTTCCAACTACTTCTTACAGCAAATGTATCACTACAAGCACATGCTGCCTGAAAATCACTCATATCTACGCATTGTTACGATCAATCCTGAGAAAAGCACGTAACTGAACTAGGATCGACATGAACTCACTGCTCAAAAAACATAAATGATGCAAAGCTAGCTAAACCAAGAACGAATCAAGACACAAAATTGCGGTCGAACGCATTCATCATACCTCAGGCCGAGAGAGAACTCGGAGAGTGAGATTGACCATCTGGAGATCCTTCGTCCCGGAGATGGAAGAGAAGGTGTGCGGCCTCGTCCTGATGTCGAAAATGAAGGGCTTCTGGAGCCAGGGGACGAGGAAGTGGGTCCCCTCGCTGACCGTCTCCTCCATGACCCCGCGGAGCCGGTCGAAGATCACCGCCCGCTGGCCCCCGTCCACCGTGTACAGCGACGCGTTCAGCGCCGTCGCCGCCGCGCCGAGGCCGAACGCCGCCCGCGCCACGTTCGTCAGGAACGACACCGCCGCTTGGCTGCTCCCCATTCTCCGCTAAGCGCAGATCGACGACCAGATAGAGAGAGAGTGGAGTTGCAGGGGGGTTTTGCGGAGGGGTTAGGGTTTATTGGGAGCGAGAATGGCTTGGGAAAGAGGTAACGTCCGGTCGCGCAAAACGACGATTCGTTCTGGTGAAGCATCTCCAGGCCCATTTGACGTAAAGGCCCAAGAGCTCAGGCCCCGTTCGCCTTCTTCTTTATATAGACCATGTCATTCGTCTCGGCGCCGCAGCTGCCGGAAAACAGGCGACGCCGCCGCGACCGGACGTCGGCTCTCGCTGGAAACTCCCGGTATGTGCGGCCGTCCTTCTATCGATCACCATTTTTACGATACTGCTTGTGCTTGTGCTTCTTCACTTGCGTAGGTTGTATGCTGTGTTGCCTCTGTTTGCAGAGTTGATCCTGATCAGATCAGCTCCGAGTTCGCCTTTTTTCTTTTATCCCGTCTCGAAGAATTTTGAACCCATCCGCTGCATCGCCGTGCCTGCCGGGGTGTTCGCGGTGTGAGCGTCTATGTCATTTCGAACGAGTCGATTCTGTGTGACCCGCCAACTGTTCGATGAAATTACTGAGCCAAGTGGAAGACGCCGCAGTGATGTGGTTATCTTCGGTTTGGAGTTTGCATTTTTGACGATGGAGAGGATCCTCAGGTGTCTTGAGTTGTTTGAGTGACTCCCGTTTTTGCAGACTTATGTTAGTATGACCTTTAGGCTCTACACATAACCACAAATTTGAGGTGAAATGGGTAGAGATATCAAGGGTCTACTTTCTCTAGAAGGGAGATGATGCACTTGGCGCAGTCGTGATAGCAATCTAGGTTTTTCCTACTTGTCTGTTCCAGCATTTGCCTCTTAGCTTCTCCAAGAACTGTGGTTGGTTTCTCGATGTGATGAATTTCAGTGGCGTTTCTTCTTCTATGACCTTTATATGATAAATTGAAGTTCAGCCACCTTTTCTGCTTCCCTTGATATGGTGGTGTAGGATAGGCACTTTCTGCTATTTCTGCTATGCTAAGCTCAGTTTAGATGGGGCTCAATGTGGATTTAAGGAAAGATATTGTGGTATCAGGAAGCTCTTTCCTATGTACAGTAACTGAATGGATACTTATGCTGCCTTAGCCATGTGCTTTAGTTTTGACGTTTAGTTCAGAATACCGCAAGTGGTCAAATGCATAATTCAAATCTACTTGATATTTTCTAGATTTTCAAGAGTGGACTAAATTGAGTGTTGACAATGATTAGAGCTAGCTAGCATCAGTAAGAAACTTAAACCTTTTTTGCACTATTGACATAGCGTTAAAATGATATAAAAGAGGACTTTTTCCAGCTTTTACAAAAAAGAGCAATACCGAATGGAATGTTCTCTTTGACGGAAAAAAAGGGTTCGGTTTAAACATGGGGAAAAATTGATATGGGATTCTCCTGTTTAGATGGAGATGTCAGGATCATGTAACAAGCTTAGGAATTAAATTAAGATGAGAAGAGATAAATAATATCTTGAAAGCGGAAGACATATATACTAATTTCAACATCATGATAGATTTATTTAAATTGGCGATCACCATCACTATCGACATTGCTGCTGCCATCGCGTGCCACAACCATGATCACCATCTTCACTTCCATCATCATCATCTCCTTTAAAACACTACCACCATCATGGTAAATATTTCTCCAGTTAGCCCATCCATGACTAGCCATCCACGTGATGGCCACCATTACTACACCATGGCCAAATTTGTACATCACTAAAAGTTATTAGGCACTTGATAGCTTTAGCTTGTAGCGCCTAATGGGGTTATCTTATCCAACACATCCTAAGAAATGGGGTTGCATTAGTTTGATCGATGGAATGGAATTGATGCACTGATGAAGAATCAGTTTGTTGCTTGGAGATGGACGTGGAGATACCAATTTTTTGGTCTTAAACTGCACTTTAGGATAACTGCATACTTGAGGTTAGGATCTATAAGAAGCTATATTTGCTTTCTATGACTAAAAGTGAGTGTATAAGGAATTAAGAAGTTGCTGTATCTTTGCACCCTGATGAAAGTGCAAAAGGATCTGGAAATCGGAAACCTTATTTATTGTTTCAGGGCACCAATTCAGTCTTTAAGAATAAGGAAGCATTCTCCTTTTTTGTCCTCAACAAATTGAAAATACTCCCTGCGGTTGGGAAGTCTGTGAGTGAGGGGCATATCGCCTGACTATTTCCAGATTGCAGTCAGTTTTGTGTCAATTTTGACCATATCATAAATTATAAAGCAGAACAATGGTGATACTGGGTGCACATAGGATCAGTTTGTGTGCATGTTATATACAAGCAAGTATGTGCATGTGCGTGCATTGTTTTGTGTTGAGTGTTTGTATGGCATTTGAGTTTCATAACCATCTTCTTGTATTCTGAGTCTCACAGACAGTGATCTTGCAGGGATAAAGTATGGCGATGAATCATTTGAGGTCATTGAGAGGCATTGTCAATGTGAAGGAAGCGATTGGTATAGTTGGTCGAAGGACATTTGCTGCCACGGGTGGTAAAGCAAAGAAGGGTTCTAAAGGTGGTGCAGCTGGTGATGCAGCAAAAGCATCATCACTCAGCAAAGAAGTCAAATCTACGACGGTGGTTGGTGCAAATATCCTCAAGGATGGAGCAGATCCCAAGGTCATACAGGACTCTGAATATCCTGACTGGTTGTGGCACCTGCTTGATAAAAAGGCCGCTTTGAGCGAGCTACGGAGAAAGAACATCGAAACTCTTCCATATGAAGACCTGAAACGCTTTGTTAAACTAGACAACCGAGCGAGGATCAAGGAGAACAATTCTCTCAAGGCCAAGAACTAGTGAAAGATCTATTGAGTCGTCATTCATGCTACAGAAATTATGAGGCACCTGGGTATCCAAGATTTCACCTTGTGGTCAATGAGCATGAGTGAAGAGGAGATGATAAACACAGGATGAGATAAAGAATGAGAGTTATATTATTTCCTTTTGATCTCGGTACATTCCTTTCCTTTTACTTCTCTTCTGCGAATGGTTGTCTTCCTAGGTTTGGAATGCCAGAAATCTCATTTTGTGTCTTAATTCAGTTTCAGCGTTAACCGGTTCATGTGCCTTGTTGAAGAATACTTCTTCCTAGTGAGGCTATTGTGATGTGCTGTTCTTCATGATACATATGTTTATTGCTTTTGGGGGATAATGATGTTGGTCAACAAATCTGAAATATTTATTCCAGGGAGAATGCTTTTAACCGTGGTGAATGCCAATGGTAACACCTAAACTCCCGGATTATCTCTGTTGTTTATTCCCCCTTAAGATAGATGATGACCTTATTGTGGACTTGTTATGCAACATATACCAAATACTTAAAGTATTTCGGCATCTTTTTCATGCCTTTTGGTACCACTATTAATCCATTTTGGATGCTTGACAACGTGATATACCAAATAGGGTTATACACATAAACTCCTACCCCTTTCTTAAAGATAGGCTGCCATTGACATTATCCATTCTCCATTCTAGCTTCATTTCAATTTAATGTGAATTGACGATCTTTGAAGATCATACATCAAATATGACTTCTATATGCGCTCGCATCATTATCATTATTATGCCGTGCGATCTGTTTTCTGAGATCTTTTTGTTTAAATAACAATGAGATCTTCACTGGACTCGTAACATAGACGTCTTCTAAACAAATAGGTCAGCATCGTGTTGATGAACACTGGGTCAGTATATGATTAAGAGTTTCGACTTTCTTCTGAGCAAAAGCTCTCTGGCTTTAGACAATGATGCTATCATATGTAGTATCTTTTTCTTGCACAACTTATCTCTACGGATTAATAAAGATATGCCTAAACTTCTAGCCGTGCCCACCCATCTGTCTCCATTAAAGTCGAAAAGTTTCCATACAGCAGTTGATTGTATTACTCAGCTGGGCCATAGTTTTGATGATGACCATCTACCATTTGATAGCCATAGGTGGATTCCACCTCCACTTGTCTCCCTCAACCCCCAGATTCAACGAAAATGTTAGGGTTCCTTCAGATCCTGATCATCTTCTTTTTCTGGATATTCAATGATCATAGTCTTTAAGGATATGCTTGCTTCTACTGTGCCATACACTTTGATGGGGCCAAATGTATCCATGAATGGATTGGAGACCTTATTGCACTAGTGACACTTGGAGAATGGCACCTGAGTGCAAGGGTCAAATTCCTTGCCTCCTTGTGATTGAGGAGCCTGTTCCTCTAGCTGTGTTGCCGCGAGGCCTGGTGAGGCCAACCCTTGCCCAGGCGACGCTGGTGAGGCCACCCTCGCTTGCAAGAAGCAAGAAAAATCTTAATTGGGATATAAGTCAAATACTATGTTCAAAGGCCTTCCCACGTGTTATTTCCATATACATATAATTCGAGATATAAGGTATTCAAACATGCACCACATGTTGAAATTCTCCGGATAATAACAAGGACTAAACCTTCAAATCATGGCAAAAACAAAGTTCAAGCACAAACCTACTAACCACATGAAATATATATATGGTCAAAACCAATCACGTGTATATTAAAAACATATAAATGTGATACTTATGCGATTTGAGATATCTTTCAATACTGAAAACTACATGTATATAAAGAGTATATAAACCTCATATTCAAGTGATACCGGATATATTTCAATAATTATCAGCAATTCGAGAACCGAATGTTAAATATCATATTAGCTCAATTGATTACTTTAGCTTTCTTGCTCATACCTCACCATCCAACCCTCAAGTACCTCATCAATAGGGATAAGTACTGAGTGGCCTGTGACAGACTGTTCCTATGAAGACTTAATAATAATGGGTTTTCTTTAGGTCATCAATCACCCATGTGAGCATCAGTATTCCGAGTCCTCGACAGCTTCCATTAAAGGGAGAAAGATACTGCGAGGGAAGCCCAAAGCAGCAGGTGAAAGTGAAGCGAGGCATTAAAGGGATGCATGAAAGGGAGGTGAAATTTGACTTCTGATCACATGCAATGTCACAGCTAAAGCAAGAATCAAGATAAACCCACCATCCACACATACTTGCCTTTTTGATGGTTCATTGATGAAAAAAGTTAGCCTTTTTGATGGTTCATTGATGAGAAAGTCGAAAGCTTTCCTGCTCACAGGGCCTACTCTGCTTTTTTTTTCTTCAGGGCTCTGTGTTTTATGTGCTGTGAGTCTATGTGGTTGGAGTGCAGAGAAGAGATGACTTTAAAGAGCATGTCCCTTCATAGCTCTCTGGATAAGAGGGAACTCTGGGAAGCAGGAATGCTTTGCATTGCCTCAAAAGAAGCCACAGTCAATGAAGCAGGAGACTCTTTTAAGTCACTTTATCACTCGGTGGAAGCAAAACTTGTTGCTTTGCTTGGAATGGGGAAGGCTTTCTTCAGTGACCTCTTTCCCCAAATAATTTGTCTCTTAATTCCTCATCTTTAAGCACAATCTAGGCATGACCCATTTTACCAAGACAGGCTATGAGGGAGTTTGGTAGAGTCAAGAGTGTTAAACTACGCCTCTGACTGTGAATTGAAACTTTTAGATAAATTAATAGTTGTTGTACCATCTGATTATTAGCATTAATTTATGAAGATGGTGACGTATTTGGAAGTTATGAGTTGGGTGGCTTTCTCTTTTGAACAACTATTCTTGGACATTGTGTTAAGACAATCAAGTGACTCTGCTTAATTAGGCTGTTCTCGTCGCTCTGACATCTCTGACTTTACCTTCTTTCTTGGTCCTTTACCTAGTTTGGTTTGTGTTTCTTCCTTAGTTAGCATTAATGCTAGAAATCTTGAGACAACTGGTCATCGTTTTCAAAATCTTATAACTCGAACCGAATGGCCTTAAATTCGACTCCTACTCGACATATCATATGGGGTTGTACATTTTGAAACTTATTAGGCAATCTTGGGATGATTTCATACCTAATTGCCTACCAAATGGAACTGAATTTAGTCAGCTGCAGGATTGCTGATTCAAGATGGAGTTTGATTTATTGAAAAGGGGAGAGGTTTTGCTCAACAAAATTCTGCCGACTGCACCGACCATTGTGATAATTTTTCTTTGCCACCGCCGGCAATTCTGATTAAGTTGAAGGAGCCTCCAGCTGACCAAGAAACAATAATGGAAAAGAGAAGATTCTGTCAATTATTGGGACCAGATTTGGCATAAATTAACCAAAGTTTGAGAATTTTGCAAAATAATTCAAGCATTATATTATGATTAATTATACTGTCCATCACAGGTGGAATCCAAACTCCACCATCAAGAAGACACTGTATATGGCAATAACGGCTTAAGTTGATTTAGCAACTCAAAAAATTAAGAAAAACCATACGTTGCCCAAGTGCGCCAATACAAAAGAATTCATATTTTGGCAGGTTATACTATGATGAAGTTGGTAAGTACGTACTGTTGTAGTTTTTCGTACATCTCCTTGCAACTTAAGGTTTCCTCAAAACGGTGGATCTACTACCAAGTTAAAAGAAAAATACGCAGAATAAGAATCGTAGAATTTTCTGTATGATTTGATATGTATTGAAAAGAGTACATGGAGCCTATTTATAGGTTTTATTAGATGACTATTTAAGGTAGTATATATCAATCAAGATATGTACAAGAAAATATACGCAGAATCTTGAGAGATACATACAATCAACAGAATTATCAAATAACTATAATAAAGGAAATTATTCTACAAAAATCCCTAATTATCTCTAACATCCCCTTCATGAGAAATACAGAGGATCAACATAACTATCAAATACCTCTAACATAGGAAATTATTTTAGAGAAATCTCACATTATCTCTAACAACTCCTTTTTTGTTTGAGAAAATATCCTAAATATCTCCGGATGAAATTGTCATATTTAGTGTTTCGGGTGGAATTTGGATTTCAGAGGCTATGGACGTTATAATAGCCCATATTACAAATATTGAAATAACATTTTATGTGTGTCATGATATATTTCCCTTTAGATCATGTTATGACTTATGAGTGAGTAGTTTCTCATGACCACTAAGCTCAAAACTTATTCCTGTTAATTTCAGTATTTACGAAAATGATATTTCTCAAAAACCCCATAATTTTTTTCTCTTGCCCCGTGAAAAAATTCTTCCCTAGCTACTTCCATCTTTGACCAAAGAAATTGACAATTAGAGCGATTTGCAATCATTGTGGAAATTCCATTTTCCCTCGATTAATATCTTCCTTGGAAAGAAGAGAAATAACAAAATCTCGTAATTTATGATCAATTCATTCCATATTTCCAGTTTTAGAGAACAAGTTTTTACATTTAAATTATGCATTGGATGTACTAATACCCTATCACATCCATCTAGAAATCTTGGTTCAAGCCTTCGCTGCTGCTTAGTAAAAGATGCCTCTTCCGATGAAAAAAAACATGCAAAAGAACCAATCAAACCCTAATGACCCACAGGTTTAAAATAATGCAAACCCAATAATCTAATGATCACATTGCTGATCATGACATGATCTCCAAATCTGATCATGGCATGCATAACCTCTCAGTTCATTAACACTTCCGAAGCTTCAAAAAAGAAAAGAAGCCAAATTGATCATCTATGATATTACCCCAGACATTTCCTCGATGAATGCCAAAGTTCTGATCTTGCAAGAGTTTACATTACCTCAATAGAGATATCATCGCTATCATAATGCAAATTGGCAAAAAAGGGGATTTAGCTTTCTCTTCTCTTAGATGGGAAACACGACAAAATTGTCCTTGATCTTTCTATTTTGTGGTCAATCTGTTCCATCAAGCTTTATGATCAGATGTGCCTAAAAGCGAAATATTCCTCTATCTCATCCCTTTTCCATAGATTTAGGCCTTTCCCTCCCTCAATCGCTATTCATGTTTCCTCCATCGCACCACCAAATGAACACTAATCATTGTGAAAAAATCCATACTTCCAAGATACCATAATGTACCGATGTAATCATATTTTTCAGTAGTTTTGCTGCTGATTATGTTGATATTTCATAAAGTTGTGGAATTATATGATGACGAGCTTGCAATTAGTCACGATGGTGTGTCTTTACACATACTGAAAAGTCGTATCATGCCATATTTATGACGTTACGGAGCACTAAAAAATAAGAAGATTGTCAAAAAAGTCAAGTTTGCACGATATAACATCCCGTTTTTGTAATCATCTCAAGGGGTAAAACTAAAAACTACTATGCTTTTATTATAAAATACAGTACATAACATTCATGTCTAGAATCTTCAAAAAATGAATTGCAAAACAATCTCCATCTTCTCTGCGTTCGACACGCCGATTCGTGTTGCACAGAACCGGTGCCGGTTATCAATTCAGGTAGGTGGTCAGGCGCAGCAGCTCAAAGTATGAACAGGGCCGAGGACTTTCTCTTTCTTCCATGTCGTGAAAATGCGCGAGCTTTATCATTTGAGCACAGGGGTCTCTGTCTCTGTCCTCTCTCTTTAGCTCCGCTTTAACTCTCACGCGGTCTCTGTCCTTTGTTCGTTCGTTGGTCGACGCGTGCTTTCGCTCTTCCTTTTCACTTCCCTTCCCGCTTTATTCCCTCCCAACAACCCGCCATTGAAGGAACCGCTTCATCTGCCACTGATCCATCCATCACGTCCCAACTCACCTCGAGCGCTTCATTGAAAGCTAAATACTTCGTGGGTATCTCTCTTTTTTGTCATCTGGGTCGTTCTTGATCCGCGGTATAGGTTTGGTTGTGGGGGTATGTGCGTGAGAAGTGCTTGGAATCGAGTAGAGCGCACCGACCGTTCGTGTTTTCTTGTCTTGTTGAGCTGTGTGGTGCGTTTGTCGTAAGATTCTGGATTGGGCTGCCACTGAAAAATCCTTCCTTGTCGATATATTTGTCTTCTGGATGGCTCCTACGTACTTTCCTCTTCGGTGGGAGAGCACCAGGGATCAATGGTGGTATGCGTCCCCCATAGACTGGGCGGCTGCGAACGGCCACTACGACCTGGTCCGCGAGCTCCTGAAGATCGACAACAATCACCTCATCAAGCTCACGTCCCTCCGCCGGATCCGGCGGCTCGAGACCGTGTGGGACGACGACGAGAAGTTCCACGACGTCGCCAAGTGCCGGTCTCAGGTCGCGCGGAAGCTCTTCCAGGAGTGCGAGTCCAAGAGGGGCAAGAAGAATTCCCTCCTCCGAGGCGGCTATGGCGGGTGGCTCATGTACACCGCCGCGTCGGCCGGGGACTTGGGCTTCATCAAAGAGCTGCTTGAGAGGGACCCTTTACTTGTTTTTGGAGAAGGCGAATTTGGGGTCACTGATGTGCTTTATGCTGCTGCTAGGAGCAAGAGCTGTGAAGTGTTCAAGGTTGTTTTCGATTTTGCGATCTCACCAAGGCTTTCGACAGGGAAAGGTGGAGAATTGGAGGAGCATATCGGGGAAATTCCTTCGCTTTATAGGTGGGAGATGATGAACAGGGCTGCCCACGCTGCAGCTAGGGGAGGGAATTTGAGGATTCTGAAGGAGCTTTTGAGCAATTGCTCTGATGTTTTGGCTTATAGAGATGCTCAAGGATCCACCATCTTACATGCAGCTGCGAGCAAAGGACAGGTTGAGGTGAGTTGGCCAAATTTTTTTGTGAAATCTCATGTTCTGGCTTTTGGATGTTTTAGCCTGTAATCCTCCACGAAACGTGATGAAGATGTGAGCTTAATGTTCATATATAAGTTGACGTAGTAGCCGATGATGGATTAAGCGGGCTTGACTATGTTATGCCTCTGCACATCTCATTAAGCTCCGAGATCGGCAATGGACTCATAGATGTCACTTTCAGCAAGACAGATCAAGAATTCTAGTGTTTTTTTAAAAAGCTACTGATATTCTTATTCTCTACAATAAGAATTTTCCCTCATTTCCTTTTCCAAAACCGATGTCTTAGCAGATTCGAGAACGGATTATACTGTATGTTTGACTTTGTTGGGAGATCATAATGTCTGAAATGAAACATCACTTTCAGATGTCAATGGCTTTGACTGTTCTGTTTATCTGTGTTGGAACAACCTCATCATTTGTCAACTTGTTAACCAATTCTCTCGAATTTTACTGCAGGTAGTTAAGTACCTAACAGAATCCTTCGATATTGGCAACTCCACAGACCATCAAGGCAACACAGCACTAAACATTGCTGCTCTCAAGGGTCAATTGGCCACAGTCCAAGCCCTGATATCTGCTTCACCCTCGTCTGTCTTCATCAGAAATGATGCTGGAGAAACCTTCCTCCACATGGCAATTTCTGGGTTCCAAACTCCTGGCTTCCGAAGATTGGACAGGCAGATGGAGCTCATGAAGCAATTGGTACATGGAAAAGTTTTGGAAGACATCATAAATGCAAAGAATAATGATGGCCGAACTGCTCTTCACATGGCAATCATCGGGAATGTTCATTCAGAACTGATTGAACTTCTGATGACTGTCCGCTCAATTGACGTGAATGTACGTGATGAAGCAGGCATGACTGCACTCGATCTACTCAAACAACGGCCACATTCTGTATCGTCAGATATCTTGATTAGACAATTGATTTCAGCTGGGGGAATGTTTGGAGCTCGGGACTTCACGGCCCGCAAAGCCATCGCTTCCCATTTGAAGATGCAAGTCAATGGAAGCAGTCCAGGGACGTCCTTTAGAATCGTCGATAGCGAAATATTCTTGCATACAGGCATTGAGAATGCATTAGATGCCAAGGATCTGACTATTCCGGGGATTGCTTCATCTTCATTCGATTCAACCAATGAGAATGATAGCTCATTCATTTGCAAGAAACCGGGCACTGCAAATTCTGCTGCGCAGCGGCTCAGAAAGGTTCTGTTGTGGCCTCGTAACAAAGAAAAAAATACCGAGAGAGGTAAAAGATCGGTTGATGCAGGATCAGGTAACTGTAGCTCAGACGAAAATCCTGTCCCCCTTCGGCAGAGATTCTCAAAGCCCTCTTCGCTTCCTAACAACAAGAGGACGCTGTCAGTGAGGAGCAATACTTCTAGTCCATCCAATAGAAAGAAGTTGGCTTCGGGTTTAAGGCAAGGGGTTTTGCAGGCTGCGCCAAACCTGAATCTTCCGCGCCGGTCTCGTTCCAGCTCGTTTTCAAAGTCACCACTTTCGTCGCCCAATTCAGTGAACAATTATAAGCAGAAGGGTGTCTATGTTGAACACGATGTGGCCGGGCCATCATGCACCAAGGAAGTCAGTACAGATGGCACTTCGAAACCGAGGGATAAACGAGGCTCCTTCGTCAAGAAATTCAGGGGTCAGTACTTCTGTTTCGGTGCTTCGAGCCTATCCCCACGAACACCGGTTATGAGGAGACAGTGCCAGAATCAGGCTTACAAGTGTCCTGTCCCTTCAGTGGCCTAACCGGAAGGGACCAAGAGATTTTGAGATGTGCACCCCTGAAGACGGCCGCTGATCACTGGTCGAAGCACGGGAGCGACTGCCAATCATGGAAGTCTCAAAGACAGCAGATCCTGGATGTTCATGTCTTTGTCCATGGACTCTTAAATCCCTTAAAAGTTGTTTATTTTGTGGTAAGAATGATTGTGTAATTTCCTAGTCATCGTCCAATGTAATATAAATCGTATGATGTTGTTAAGCATATTAACTCAGTGAGGAAATTGTCTGTGTTCTTAGACCGTGTTTGTACAATGCAAATGACTGCGGCGATGACAACAAATCGAGCCTTATCCCATTAAGTACGGTCAACTATATGAATCCTATTATAACATTTTGCTCAATCCATGATTCGATCTCTGTGAACTTTAAATACCCAATACCTTTACTATTCATCTCCTTCCATGTTCCACCTCCTAGGTTTGCCCCGGTCTCTTCTGACTTGCATTCTCGCCCGCCCTCAAATCTCTTCGTTGGAAAATCCCAAGGTCTTCAATCGTTTCTCGTGTTTTTTCTCAATGGGGGCAACACCTATCTTTCTTCTGAATACGTTTATTTATAACCTTAACTTTTGTCGGAAGCTCCCCCATCGGAAGAATTTTTTCCTATAGAATTTTCCCTTAAGCCGAAGTGGCACTTGACGGTCGCACAAAACACCAGGGGCAACCGTGCCTATGGTCACGACCTGTCCTAATTTCTCCGATCCTGGGGAGTTCCCTTCGCTGAAATATGAATTCATCGACTTCTCGATCTGCAATTTGATCTCGAGTCTTAACAATGTCGACGAGATCATCGCGTCGTTACAGTTGAAACGTTCTTTGCTTGGTGGTCATTGTTTCGGTTTCAGTCCTGATGGAACTGGATCTACCACAACCCTGATAAAAAAAAAAAAGGATCAATGAAGTAAAGGCCCAATTGCCTGTCCTGTAATGGCCCGGACTGAAGAATGTAAGTGGACCGGACCAGTCTCTGTTGCGGAGGTGGACTTCTAGTTCTAGACTATAGAACCGATCATGAACTATTTTCCTAAGAAAATAAAATTATGACCCAATTAGCTAGATTACGAGACCGTTTGGTATAATTTTCTTGCCGTATTTTCCCCTGTGAAAATGAGTACTACAACTCTTTAAGGTGTTTGGCAAATAACACGCAGTCGCAACACCTCCAAAACTGGAGCAGCTTACATCAAATTTTAGGAAGTTGCCTCACCTAGTTTCGAAATATGGGTCCCGAGCATACATTCAAGTCATGGCTATTCCAAAAATGAGTTTTATGGGATGTGGAGCAGGCATGAGTTTCCACGGTTGTGCTTGCCATTGTCGAGCGCGAATGACTACAAATTTCGAGGAAGATCCTCATGTCGAGAGTCGGACTGAATTCAACAGAAAACAGGTATTGAACGAGAATTATCGCCCATAAGCTGATTCTCGTTCCTTCCTTCCTTCCCTGACTACCAAACGTTCTCGATGAAGCATGAATATGTTCTTAAAAAATGCTCCGGTTGGATAGAGGCTTTCGCTGTTAATGAAGGGTTTGATTAAACGACACCAGGTGGTCAACGTTGGGTGTTCCAAGCGAGCAACCAGACTTGGACGAACAGGCCGAAAAGGAGGTGATTGGAGCAACATGACGACATCCTGTACGTTTAGGCAAGAAGGGGCAAGTGGTACCAACTACCAAGTACCAAGTCGTCGTGCTTTTTCCGCTCTCAAATTGTCAATTCCACGCTCTGTCGACAATTGCAGTAAAGCAAGGTGCTTGACGACATCCTGTACTTGATTCTAATTGAGGGAGAGAGAGAGAGTATTATTATTATTATTGTTGTTGTTGTTACTATTTATATCACATTTGCAATCTGATCTCAATCATGCGGCCGGCAAGGAAGGAACGAGGAAGTGACCTAGGAGGCATGCCATTTTTTTTGCGAATTGACCCTCCTTGCCGGTCCCATCCATATAGAGCGCCGTCATACATGGAATTGGAAACCTACCCGAAAAATCATTTATATATATAGTCAAGCGTGTGAAGACACGATATTACATTCAATATATCGATTACACAAGTCTAAGTTTATATTGCAATAGGTCCTGGCTCAAGCTATGCTTGATTTTTGGTGTATGCTTTCATCAAAATTAAGTGTTTGGGGAGTCCTTATGCTTTGCTATTGTCTTCATAATGCATTAGAATCAAAGTATAACAAACAAATCGTGCATCCAGCTTATACCGTGATCCTAGAGCTAGCATACACTCCGAACGGTAATTTGCGGATACATAAAATTAAATTATCATTCAAAGCCAAGAGTCCACGATAAAACCTGGAGAAGATGCAAGGTACATAAACGACCCTAACCGATCCACATAGGCCAGATCCGACTAACCAAAGGTGGTATCTACTTGTGAATCGAACTCATAAATCATCTTCCAACTTAACGCGAGGATTAAAGCTAGTTAAAACTTTTGACTGGCTTTTAACTTAAAACAGTTAAAAACAGAAGTCAGAAGTAAATTGTTTTCATCTAGCTCTTGCTAATCGCTCACTGTTGGAAAAGAACCTTCATAAATTATTTTCATCTAGATAATGGGCTCGCAAAAATTCCTATTTCAGTTCAAATATGCGGGCTTAATGATGAAGCGGTATGTTTTTAAATATGATTCACGACGAAACGAAGACTTTCTCATTTAGGGTTCCTTCGCTCTGGAGATCATCTTTGTCCCGTCAATCCAACACTTCCAACTACTTTCATAATTGAAAGTTAAAGTTAGCACACTTAAAACCGCCGGAATGAAAGTCTTCATTTTTGCAACAAGAGAAAGCGGTAGAGAAAAGGTTACAATGGTCGAATGAATCTCGTCAAATGTTATGATGACTTGTTCGATGATGAGCATGTGTTGTCAATAATATAGCTCAATCAAGACTTGATTGTACATTCTCATACATTTGCTGGTGTTTGCGGCTTTTTATATATCTCAGGGATGACCGTTTGGTTCTTGGCTCATATAATCACTTCTCCCTTCGTCCCTCTCCGTGTGTGTAAAGTATGTGTGAATAGATTAAGATCGAGTGACGACAAATTGGAATTGAAAGTCAATTATGGCTCTTCATTGTCAAATTGATTGAAAAGTTCACGATTACATTCCGGAAAACCGTGTGATCATCCGATCTGTAGTTAATATATAGATAGTAAAGAGGAAGATTATGTCTTCGTTTTTCTTTTTCCATTTCGGAAGCTATGTAAAGTACAAATACCGAAATTTAACTTTACGAAATATTGCCAAAGAAATTGCTAGCAGAACAAAAGCGCACAAATTTTTTTTAAAAAAAAGGCCCTTAGAATAGAAGAAACATGTAGACAAGACACAATTGAGAGAAGACCATGAAAAAGGATATTAAAAAATCTGCAAATTAGAAAAAAGGTGTCAAAAATAATGAACAAAAATAATAAAGAGAAGAAGGAAAATGAGATTCAAGTTAAGAGGGAATTAAGCACACGTTCCAAATCCATATATATTCCCTTCTAATTTTCTCTGCATATATTTTCATATTACTTGACCAAATGTGTACTCTCACAAAGCAAGTGGAATAGTATTAAATTAACCAGAGATGCGTCGGAATTTGTGATCGTTCAACTTAGATAGAGAGTGATTTGAATCGTTCAACTGAGAGTGACATTCTGATATCATTAGCAAGGAGTGCTGTTCCTTTTCTTATCTTGCTTGTTCGATGCGTTCTTCCATTAATACTAGTAATTAACTTTTTTCCCAGTTTGGACTGGATTCCTAACAGTTTAAAAGCATTAAAATATTAATTGTTAACTAAGGGAAACAACAGTATAACCTAATCCCAAGAATACACGAATACTACTAAATAATAATAATCACTGCTATCAGCAGCGTCGTCGTCGTCGTCGTCATCATATCAATCTAGGAGAGCAATTTAGACCACAAAGTCATTAATATTGTACCATCAATTAATCCACTGAAAACTTAAAGAAAAGGTGATACATCTAGCAGTACCAGAATAAAAAGTTGCTAACATATCTTGAATCACAAGTTAAGCAAATCATAAATACGGTGGAAGAATGTCATGATCATCTAATCATCTGTGAAAGTATCGGAAAAGCAGAGAAACCGTTACGCCCATGTATAAACCCTAGAAAAACATAAGAGTCTCACGGTCATGATATCACGGCCAGCATTTTAATCAGAACAATCATCTCCATGCTTCTTGACCAACACCATAATCCATTTGTGGATACGAAAACGACACGACCCCAATTCTTTAAACTCAAGAAAACTGACTCATGACTCAACAGAAGTAAATCCAGGAACAACAACGTTACACACGAACACCATGACTCGACCCAACAAAAGACAACAACACACAGGGTCTACACCTACCACAATCCGTGTGTATTCCATAACTCGAGCGGAATCACTGAAGAAAACAAAAATTGAAGAAGCAGCCTGCATTTATTCACATCTTGCGCTAAGAAGCTAGTCAAAGTAGAGCTCACTTTCTTCATGACTGCACGTTCAGGTACTCGATCGGCTTAAGCACCCTCGTTGTCGTCCTCTGGAGCTTCCTTGTTCAGACCCAACTCCATGTGGATCTTCTTCCTCTGAGCCTCCGCCGCCGACAAAGGAGCGCCACCCTCAACCGCAGCGCTGCTGTTGCCCTTCGTCTCACTCCTCTCGATCTTGTTGAAAGTCCCATGCCCAAACTTCAGCAAGATCGACACAAGTTCCTCATCCTGCTTCTCATGTACCTGTTGCTTCGGCTGCTCCTCCCGCTGCCGGGGCCGGTTCTTATGGACGTGCATTTGCCCATTGACAGCGTTCCGACTTTTGAACGATTTCTTGCACAGGCTGCACCTGTGCACGCCCCAAGCTTCGAGCTCAGTTTCCTTTCTTTTCTTTTTACCGCCCTCCACTTCTACTTCCCTGCTTTTCATGCTCTTGCTTGGGGGCGGAGGAGACCCCATAGTGTCTGCGGAGGAACAGCCTGCGAGGGCCAGTTCTTTGCCCAATTTCATGCTCCTTCCACCATCGCCTCTGCCGGCACCTGCGCCGATGCCGGCACCAACACCGACACCGCCAGACACAGTAGAAGAGTGTTGAGGTTGATGTCTTCTATTCTGTTATCCAAGAGATTATGAGGCGGTTCCGAAAGGCCCCCTGACGACTGGACAGCACGGGGGTCCCACTATAGGGTTTTATGTTATCCGGGAAAAGTGCCAAA